GTGAGCTGAGCCAGAAATTAAAATTTATAAATATTGTAATTCGATTTAAGAGAATCATTAAGAATTATGAATCAGTCCACCTACCCTCTTCCGATTCACCCCAACGCTTTTGCCAGATCTCCATAGAGCGACATCTTTCCTGCTCTATAACTTCTTTTCAGTTTAAACTGGTACTTCCCGCAGATACCCGCTTATACACTCTTTGCATCTCGTTTGCCAGGATATCTACGGGAATCAGTCCGGCAATTACGAAGGATGCTTCGTCAGATATGGTTCGGAATCCACAAATAGTCCTTAGTGCGCTTAGGCGATACACAGATGTGAGTGTCTTCGCATGATATTTTAGGCTCATTGCTTCAGCCCAAATTGGAGCACAGTAGAGTAAGACTGAGCTGACCACTCTACTAAGCAATACCCTTCTACTATGTTAGGGTCCGCCGATATTTGGCATCATTCTAGATAAGCATGCCTGTAAATTCGATGCTTTCTTTGCTGCATACTCCAGGTGGACCTTAAAGTTTAAACGGCCATCAATCATTACCCCCAAATATTTGTTTGCGGGCTTTGATATTATAGTTTCTGATCCAACACTGAGTCTTATTGTCTCTATGGCCTTTCTGCTACTTATCAATACTGCCTCTGTTTTGTGATCAGCGAGTTCTAGATATCTTGATGATAGCCATGCCTTCACTCTCTTTATAGCTTCGCTGGCTTTCCTTTCAATATCCTGTTTATGCTTCGCTACTATTACTACTGCTATGTCGTCTGCGAATCCTATTATTTTTGCCCGATGAGGCAAATCGATGCGTAGAACCTCGTCGTACATTAAGTTCCACAGGAGAAGCCCGAGAACGGATCCTTGGGGTACCCCCGCGGAAACACTGTACGCCTCTAATCCTCTGTCGCTCCGGTACTTTAGTTCCCGTTCGGAGAGATAGCACCTAATTATTCTGATAATGTAATTCGGGGCCTCCATTTTGATTAGGGTTTCCATTATGTGCTGCCAGCTCGCAGTGTTAAATGCGTTTTTCACATCTAGGGTTATAACAGCACAGTATTCCTTTTTGCCTCCATGCCACCTTTTCCCTTCGATGGCCTCTTTGGCTATGTCAACCACTGATTTAACAGCATCTATTGTTGAACGAGATTTCCTGAAGCCAAACTGGTGTGGCGACAGAAAGCGTCTCTCTTCTGCGATCGATGTAAGCCTGTTGCAAATAATTTTTTCGAGGATTTTTCCCAGTGTGTCCAATAGGCATATGGGCCGATAGGACGAGGGTTCCGCAGATTGCTTATTTCCCTTTGGCATTAGGACTAGGTTTTGAACATTCCATCTTTTCGGGAAAATGCCCTCATTAAGACAAGTCTGAAACACACTTACAAATAAATCTGGCCTCATTCTAATTGCAGCTTTTAAAGCCTTGTTGGGTATTCCGTCTGGCCCAGGGGCTTTTCCGTCTTGGATCTTCTTGCATGCGGACTCTAATTCGTTAGCCGTAATAACTGGGACATCAACAATTTTGTATCGTGTACAGTTTGGTACGACTTCTTCCCTTTGTGGAAATAGAGTCGTTATTATATCGCGCAGCCTTTCTGGGCACGTGATACTCGGTGCTTTCTTGCCCTTAGTTTTTGCCATTACTACTCTATAGGCCGTGCCCCACGGGTTTACATCTGCTTCTTCGCATATTTTCTTAAAGCTTTCACGTTTGCTTACTTTTATGGCGTTTTTTAAGCTCTTCCTCGCCGTTCTTGGAGATTGTAGGTTTTCGTTGAAGTCTGGCCTCCCTCTGCTACGCTGCATTTTGCGTCTAGCATTCAGACACTGACGTCTAAGTATTTTTATATCGTTATTCCACCAATAGCATGGGGAATTTTGTTTCCTCACCACTCTTCGAGGCATAGCAGCATCACAGGCGCATGCGAGGTTACGAACCAGGTGGTCAACCTCCCTCTCTACCGAGCCAGCTTTGTGTTGGAACTCTTCCATCATGCAGGCTAGGACCTCTCCGTCTAACATACTGTCTTTCCATTTTGGGCCTGTCAGATTTGGCATCTGTTTGGGTCGCCTCAGAGTTATATCCATTATTATTGCCTGATGGTCGCCGTGGGTATACTCCTCACTAACTCTCCAATTAATTTTTTGGGCCAAGGAGTCACTCGCCAGCGTTATGTCAATAATTGACCCAGTTCCCATTTTGCGGAAGGTGTATGTGGACCCGCTGTTTACTATTGATACGCCGAGTTGGCCAAAAGTTTCAAGCAGCAGCTCGCCTCTTTTATTTGTTAGTCTGCTACCCCATTCTGTTGCCCACGCATTGAACTCACCGGCGATAATTAGCGGGGATTTCCCGTTTGCTTCTTCAGCAATGCTACGCAGCATAAGGGTATACTCTTCTTTTGTAAGGCTAGGTCTCGCATAACAGCTAAAAATGTTAATTCCGTTTACCTCAGCTCGAAC